TGTGCCTGTGCCACGCAGCAGGAGCTGCCCTGGTGCAGGAGAGCCAGGCTGTGCCTGTCCCACCGGGTGGCTTCAGGACAACATCCGAAACGCCCTGGGCGCGTTTCCTCAAAAGCGACGACAGGCGCGTGATGGACGCGCTGCCGAGCCCCTGCTGCAGAGCAGCCATTCAGGTGCTGTGCAATGGAGCTTTTCTTAGCACAGCCAGGATTAAAAATAGGAGCAGAGCTGGCCAGGGAGCGCTCTGAGCCCGGGCAGGGAGCGATCCTGTGTTATTCACCCTGCCTGCTCCCCAGGGCTGATGTTTTCTAGGACCGAGCTAAATGTCTCGTTTTAGCTGACCATGGGGATGCTGGTGCAGTGAAACACTGGGTCATATTTTATCACCCTACATATTTCTCCATACTTCAGCCACGTGGTAGCTGTTTAACAACTTATTCCCCAAATGAAATAAACAGAAATATTGATTCATTATTTGCTTTCAAATGAAATGAGCAGTTTTATAGGAAATATTGACACATTACTTGTCACTTCTCTTGAGGCTCCAAATGCATCTTGAGCTGCTGCAGCCCACAGCCAGGACATTTACTTCTCATTTGACAACTGTTTTCCATTCCCTTTTGCATTTTTCCTGGCCTTCTCAGTGATTTTTGCCACAAGCAGGTGACAAACATTTTTGCGGCAAACATTTTGGTGACAAAATCAGTCCTCACTTTGCACATATTAAAAAGCAACAAACCCAAACCCTACTTGTGTGTTTCTGAATAAACAGTGATCACCCCTAACCCATCCCTTTGTCAATCTTATTTTCTGTTCTTGGTTTCACCAGCTGTGTAGCAATATCCACCTTGCTATTTCTGTGCCATAGAACTTGATCTTTGGGGGCTTTTGCTCTAAAAATTATTTTCTTGAGCCTTTCACATCGCTTTACTAATTGCACTGCCCTTCAGTGCATGTGCTAGCTGTAACTTTTCCCCACAAGAGTATCGTGTTTAAAGTCACAACCCCCGTGCTCCTGCCAATGTATTCCTCTTAACTTACAGGAAACCTATGAATGAGGTATGATACCATGAATGATACTATTAATCACTTTATTGCAACTGCACCCTGGCATCCCATTCACTGTTGAGACCTTGTTACGCAAGTGCTGTACGTATATAAAAACAGTCTCCAGCTTCAAAGTGCTTACAAGCCTTTGTAAAAGCCTCCTGAAGTTTTCTGTGAACTTGTTACTGTAAGAAGAAGAAGGAAAAAAAATTACATGTTTCTTCTTGGAACAAAATGCTTTTCAAACTTTTAGAAGAATGATTCATGTTTACTCTTATCTCCCTCCAGAGGAAAAAGAAAATTAGTTTAGGAATATTTTCAGCCTTAGTCCCCATCGGGTGAATTTGAGGGAGCTGACCTGGGATTCACTGCTGTGCACAGCATCCATCCCTGCCACATTCCTCTCTCTGATGAGTCAGTGGACCTCACAGACCCAAAGTCTTGAGAATGACCCGACTTCAGCATCTCCCCCTTCCTCCTCCTTCCCCTTAAGATTCCTTTGCTGCTCCCTATAGCCATACTATTGAGTTAGAATTAAAATAAAATTGTGGAGAGCGTTCAATTCCTGTAATCCTGGCAGTGGAGAAAACCTTATTAACCCTGAAATGGCCTAAAAAAGGATTCTGCTGAGGTGTCCCTTCTGCCCTGGGGACCCTGGACACTGAGCCATTGCTCCTGCTGGATCTTGGGGTGCAGGGGGCTCCAGCACACGAGCAGGGAGCACACATTCCCACTGCCTGGAAGCAGGGGATTGTTTATTCTGCAAGGACACTGTTTATTCCTGGCCTGGTGGGGGCTGTGCTGCCCTCTCCACTGGGAAGGCAAGGGGCCAGAGAATTTCTCCAAGACAACGAGATGGTTTTGCCCCGCGCTACCCCACCCTCCACCCCATCCACAGCCCTGCCCTCCACCATTCCCTGACCCCAATCCCCCCTGCCCTTAAAACCTTCCCCAATAGCCCCCTCTGCACCCCCCGCCCCTGTTTGCACTCTCCCCACTCCCTGCTCCTAATGCCCCCAGTCATTCCCTGTCCTCAAAGCCTCTGTCCTGCCATCCCTGCCCCTAAACCCATCCCCTGCAGCCTCCTGCCCCTAAACCTCACCACAGCCCCCTGTCCCAATCCACACACACTCTCTGCCACCCCCTGGCCTGATCCACGTCCCTAAATCTCACTCCCCAGCCCCATCCACCATTCCCTGCCCTATTTGCACTGCAACCCCTGCCCCTAAACCCCCTAAGCCATCCCTGCCCCATAACCTGCTCCATCGACGCACACCTTCCACCACCCTGTTCCCCTAAACCTTCCTCTTCAGACACTCCCTACAACCACTCCCCTACCCCTAAACCTCCCTTCCTGTCCTCCCTGCCCCTAAAACTCCCCCCTTCTCCTGAACGCCTGCCCTGCAGCCCCTTGCCCCAAAACCTGCTTCTATCCACACTGCCAAGTTCTGTCCCTGAATCTCCCCTTTCCCCTAAACTTTTCCCCACAGCACCCTGTCTGCAAACCTGCCCCTATCCACACCTATCATCCACCTTGTCCTGTCCCTAAATCTTCTGCCCCCAAATTTCTCCCACCAGCCCGCTCCACCATTCCCTGCACTATTTGCATTTCCCCCACTCCCTGCCCCATAGTCTCTTCCTGCCACCCCCATGTCCCTAAACCTGCCCCTATCCACACACACTCCCTGCCACCTTCTGGCCCTAAATCTCCACTTGCAGCCCCTGCCCCTAAAACTGCTGCAATACACGCATCCCCACAGCCACCTTCTGCCCCTAAACCTCCATCCCCTCACAACTCTCTGTTCCTATACCTGCCCCTATCTATACACACCCTCTGCACACTTTTCCCCTAAACCTCTCCCTCCAGCTCCTGCCTCTACACCCTCTCCCAAACCCCTATACCATCTCCCAGCAGTGCCCTGCCCCTCTCCACACACACCCCTCTGCCCCCCATGCTCCTAAATCTGCACTCCCACCTTCTGCCCCTCTCCACACACACCTCTTTGCTTCTTTATGCTCCTAAATCTGCATTCCCATCCTCTGCCCTTAAATCTCTCTTCCGAAGCCCCCTGCCCTACCTGCGCATATCCACACTGATCTCCTTTGCCTCCTTATGCCCCTAAACCTGCCCATATCCACGGACACCCTCCACAGCCTCCTGCCCCTAAACCTGCCCATATTCACACTGATCTCTTCTGCCCCTTTATGCCCCTAAACCTGCCCTATATCCACACTGATCTCCTATGCCCCTTTATGCCCCTAAACCTCTCCTCTCCAGCCCCCTGCCCGTAAACCTGCCCATATCAGACACCCTTCCCATGCCCCTAAACCTGCCCATCTCCACACACACTCTCCCCCTGCAACCCCTTGCCCCTAAACCTGCCCATATCCATGGACACCCTCTGCAGCCCCCTGCCCTAAACCTGCCCATATAAACACACACCCTGCGCCTAAACCTGCCCATATCCACACACACCTTTGGGAGCCCCCTGCTCCTAAACCTGCCCCATACCCACACACACCCACCGCAAGCCCCCTGCCCCTAAACCTGTCCATATCCACGGACACCATCTGCAGCCCCTTGCCCCTAAACCTGCCCATATCCATGCACCCCCTCCCCGTGCCCCTGCCCCTAAACTTGCCCATATCCACACTCATCTCCTCTGCCTCATGCCCCTAAACCTGCCCATATTCACACTGATCTCTTCTGCCCCTTTATGCCCCTAAACCTCCCCTCTCCAGCCCCCTGCCCGTAAACCTGCCCATATCTGACACCCTTCCCACGCCCCTAAACCTGCCCATCTCCACACACACTCTCCCCCTGCAACCCCTTGCCCCTAAACCTGCCCATATCCACACTCATCTCATCTGCCCCCTTATGCCCCTAAACCTGCCCAATACACACACACCCTCCGCAAGCCCCCTGCCCCTAAACCTGTCCGTATCCACGGACACCCTCTGCAGCCCCCTGCCCATATCCACACACACCCTCCCCCTGTCCCTAAACCTGCCCATGTCCACACTGATCTCCTCTGCCCCCTTATGCCCCTAAATCTGCCCTATACCCACACACGCCCTCTGCAGCCCCTGCCCATCCCCGGAGCCCATCCCCTCTCCAGCCGGGGCTCCCGCGGGCGCGGCCGTGCCGGGCAGCGCCGCTCCCCGCTCAGCCCGCGGAGCCCCCGCGCCGCACCGCCCCCTCCAGCCCCTTTGTATCCAACATCCGGGTTTCCCCGCTGGCTCCGCGCTGGCTTCTCCCTTTTTTTAGAAGCCATTTTGGACGCGGTTCAGTTTTTTTTTTTTTTTTTTTTTTTTTAATTATTAAAACAAAACCCCAAAACAACAACAACAACAAAACCCCAAACCCCCATCAAACCTCCCTTTCCCTTCCTCCTCCACGTTGTGGGTTTTGTTTTTTTATTAATTTCCCTCTCCCTCCTACCCATCCCGCACATGGCACCTCCCGCCGCGCCCCCGCGCCCGCCGCCCCGCGCAGCCCCGCGATGCTGCGGCCCCCCGCCGCCTCTTCCTCCTCCTCCTCCTCCTCCGGACCCCGCGCCCCCTCCGCCGGCCCTTGCCTGCCGCTCCGCAGCCTCCCGCGATGCGGGGTCCGTACGAACCGCGCACGGTCCCGCTGCCGCCGCCGCCGCCCCGCTCGCTGCCGGCATGGGTTGCGCGAGGAGGAGGAGGAGGAGGAGGGGGGGGGGGATGCGCGCGTGTGCGCGGGGGAACGGGGGGAGCGCGCAACCCGCGCGCGGCTGCGCGGGAACTGCGCGGGAACTGCGCGGGGGGGGGGGGCGTGTGCGCGCTCGCCCCGCGCTGCTGGGGGAGCCGGAGGGGCTGGGTTGGGAGGAGGAGGAGGAGGAGGAGGGGGAAGGGGAAGAGGAGGAGGAGGAGGGGGAGTCGGTGTGTGGTGCACGCCGCGCTCCCAGCACAAAAGCCCAGGGAAAGAAACTCTTGGAAAGCTGGGAGCGAACGGTGGGGCCGGGCAGGAGCAGGTCGAACCGTCCGGGTCTGTTCGTCTCCACTGGATAAATTTTGCAACTGCGGAGGAATTAAATCCGATTTTCTTGTTGTTGTTGTTTTTTTTTTAATTTTTCTTTTTTTTTTTCCCACCCCCTACCCCAAGATTTTTTTTTTCTTCTTTTTTTTCTTTTTGAGAACGAGAGGGAAGGCAGAGCCGCGCTTCTCTCCCCCCTCTCTTTTCACGCGCTCGATCTTTTTTATTTTTATTTTTGTTTCCCTTGGGGTAGAGGTGCACGCGAGGAGGAAAAAAAAAAAAAAGTAAAGGACTATGTTTGCTTCGTGGCTGACTTTCGCCGTGCTCTGGGGAACTTTCTGTGCAGGTAAGAGCCTCTCGGCGTGTTTACCTCCCGCTCGGGCTCTCGGTCGCGTCTCCAAATGCAGAATTGAATGGGCCGTGCGGTTCTTTGCAGCCACCCTCCGAAGCACAGCACCCGAGCTGGGGAATCCCCCCACGGCTGCATCGCCTTCATTTCCTTTATTGTTGTTATTATTACTATTATTTTTATTTTTCTTTTCACTCCCTCCCTCTCCGTTTTCTCCCTGCTCGCAGGACGAGCCTTCCCGTGCTGCTTTTTGTTCCCTCCAGGCAGCCTGTGGGAATTCATGGCAGTGTAAACACGGCGCGATCTCGAGGAAACTTTGCAAAAATGGGCATTCGCTCCTGGGGCGGGGGCGTGGGGGACAAGCCGAGGATGATGCGGGAGGGGGGCACAAGTTGGGAGCAGCGGGAGGAGACCCGGGCTCGCTCCGGAATGCTGCGGGCTCTCTCAGGTAGTGGCCATGTGTGCGCTCCGCTCCTGCCGGGCTGCGCTTGTGTAACTCGGGGAGGGTGTGGGGGACCCCCCTTCATCCCAAAGGGACCCCCCCCCCCCGTTCCCCCTTTTTCCCCCCGGGACGCTGCGATCCCATAGGGTTAGCACAGAACGAACCTATGGGGGCTGGCTGCTCCATAGGGAACGGGGAGAAAGTTGGGGAAAAGGGGGTGTGTGCGGCGGGGGGTGCCTGGGGAGCATCCCTGCGGAGGAGGCTCTGCGGGCGGAGGAGGGTGTTTGTTTTGTAATAATCATCCCCTTTATTTTACGGACATGGGCTACAAACTTCATCATCTCCATCCCGCGGGGTGCGCGTCGTGCCGGGGGACGCGGGTGGAAGTTCGCCCAGAGCCCGAGCGCGGCCGGGGGAGTTGGAGGGGACGGCGGGCAGCGCTGGGGGACGCGGGTCGGGCTCTCCATGGGGCGGCGGGAGCGGTCCATGGGGGGCAGGAGCGGTCCATGGGGGGGCAGGAGCGCTCAGCCCGCTGTGCTACCCCCGAGCACCTGAACACGCGGGCACGCTGGAAATCCCCGCGCTCCCCACTTTCCCTCCTTGTTGTAATTATTCTTTGTGTTATTGTTATATTTCCCCTATTCTTTTTTATAGCCGCCGCGTTTTCCTTAGGAGAAAGCAGTGCGGCAGCAATTTTGCCTCCCCCCTTCTTGCCTGGCCACCAGGACCCCCCCGGGGCTGAGCCCCCCGCCCGGCTCTGGGCTGTGCCTCGTTACATCCTTAAATCCCTTCCATCCCCGGCCGGGGCTGGGGGGACGCGGAGGGTCAGGGCCGGGGCTGGGGGGCTGTGTGCGGCCGGGGGGCTCAGGGTGCGGGAGGCAGCGATGCTGCAGCCCCGCGATGGGCAGCCGCGGAGTTCCCGGCGCTTTGGCATCGCCGCGGTGCGGGTGGGGGCCCGGGGGGTTTCCCCGCGGGTCCCGGTGCGGGTCCCGGTGCGGATCCCCCGGCCCGGGGAAGGCGCTGCCCGGCGGGGCCGCGGGGGGAGCGGGCGCGGAGCCGGCCCCGGGGCGCTCCTGCAGCCGGGCTTCCTTTGTTCCGAGTGCCCATTAAATATGCGCTGCCACCGCCTGCCTCTGCCATTACCCGCCGTGCCACAGCTTCCTTATTTTTTTTTTTAAGTCTCACCAAAAGTGAGTGCGAGCGGCAATAAAAAAAAAAAAAGGAGCGGACAATAAAAAATTAAAATAAAATAAATTAATTTCTTAGCGAGCAAAGGCAGCTCGGGATTTTTTTATCTGATGGCCGGGACACTTGTACGCAGCTTTGTTTGCATGTGTTGGGAAGGGGGATGTGCTACATAGCAGCGCTGAGCAGAGCAGGTATTTTGGAAGGAGGGAGCGAAGGGGGGGGGGCTGTGTGTGTGCCAGCAGCATTCCTGGTGCTCGGCGATGCTATCATCACAACGGCTCTCCTGGCTGGAAAATTCTATTATGTGCATAAAGAAGATTTATGGTCAATGTATTTTCTTTCCATATATCTTGGAATCCTTTTATCTCGGGTGATTCAATAAAAGAGATGGCTTCCGGATTTCTCTTTTTTTTTTTTTGTTTTTGGTTTTGTTTTTGGGTATGGCGTTGGGTTTTTGTTTGGTTTGGTTTTGGTTTTTAACCTGATCCTATGGCTCTGTGCGCAGAGTGGCTGGAATCTAAGCTGGAGGGGAGAAAAGCAATTGCTCTAATAAAAAACAACACCCTGAAAGCTTCTTAAATGTATCATGATATGAAAAAGATAATCTGACAGGGCATACCTATGCTGAATTTTTCCTCACCCCCCCTGAAAATACAATAAAGAAGCCCCAGAAAATGAATATACTTCTGTTTATTTGTAAAGGTCCTTTTGAATCACTAAATCAGTGCATTAGAACCATTCTATAAATCCCTCCCTCTTTTAAAGCCTTTCTTGTGATATTTATGAGTATTTATCAACGTCATCTTTATTGTCCAGTTTTTCCTAAAGCTGTTGAGTCAAAAAAAAAAAAAAAAAAGAAGGAAAACAAGCTGAGATACCCAAAGTTGGAATGTGTTGCTGGGATTCAGAGCACTGGGCTTTGCTCAAAGTCTGCCTTTTGTGTGTGTACATGTTAGGGCTCTGTGAAAGTGGTGGGCTTTTCGAAAATCACTTAACCTCCATTGTTGATGCTTCTCATCTCTACCTTGGCTGGATGTAACAAAGCAAGCACGGGCCGCTGTTCTTTAAAAAAAAAAAAATAAATCTGTCACGCTCAGTTTTTTGGAATATTGAGGATTCGTTGAGGAAAACATTATGTTTATTTTTAGCCCTTTGTTTGCAAATTCTCTGCAGCCCAAATGTTCAGAAATCATGTTTTAATCGATGAGCTTGAGAAAAAACAGAAGGTGTAAAAGGATTTGTCTTGCAGAATGCATTGCTAACATGTTTTCCAAGCCATTACATTACTTTTATTTTGGTGCAAGTTTAAGTAATGCCATGCAGCAATGAACTGTGCTGGAAATGGATCTGGTCTCCTCTTTCACTGTCTTGTATTTATCCTCTTGTGCTTGAGAAAGGGAATAAAACTGGCTTCATTAGCTTGCTAATTAAACACAATGAAGTGCGTGGCCCAAGGTTAATGGCAATGGCCTTTAAAAACAAAAAACTCTTGAACAGGTGTTTCGGATATATATTTTTTTAATCCGCTATCAAATCTAGATAATTACACCACCGACATAGCCACTGTCAGAGTTCTGTGGAGAAGAAAATGCTGTGTTAGAGATGCCAGCGATCAGTGCATTATTTTTAGTGACATTATTTATAAACACCTCTCCAGGTCCTGCACAACCTGTGGTTTAGCTCCCCCGTGTCCGTTTGGAAGCATCTCCTGCATCCTCCCTTTGGCTCCTGCATTAAAAACCCTGGATCCCTGCACCGGAGTGAGGGTCTAACCGAGCTGGGGAGTTGAGTAAAGTATTTACAGGCTGGAATTTCTGCCTTTGCTGGTGCCTTTGAGCAGCCCATGCTATGGGAAGGAGCAGCCGATTAAAGCCGAGGGCTCGCAGTGCCGGTGGAGCTGGAGCTGTCAGCAGCCTCCTGTCCACTCTGCTCTCCATCAGCTAAAACACGCTTGTCAGGCTTTTTTGTGCTCCCTGTGACGCAACAGTTGTGGACCTCCCCTGCTGGCACTGAATAGATGGTAGGGAAGAAAGAAGCAGGCCAACCTCACTGGCTTTTCTTCCCCCCCCCTTTTTTTTTTCTTTTCTGTTTTGTTGTTGTTTTTATCCTCCTCTCTCCCTCCCACCATTCTCCCCTTCCCCATGCACACACTCCTTGCTTTGCAGATCAGCTCCCTGTCTCCACTGCATAGGTAGAGATGGAAGAGAGAATCTTTTGAAATGTTGGTGATGGGATGATGGGACCAGCCCAGAAATCCTGCTGCTGTGCTATCCACGGTGTGGGTCCTCCTGCAGGTGTAAAAGGAACTAAGGGATGCTAATCTTTATTTATCAAGGGTGAAGGAGGTGGATGGCAGAGATTTTTTGAGGCTGGGCACCTCTCAGGGCTGTGTTTGTGTGCTCTGCCCAGAGGCAAAGTTGCCTGTTCCTAGAAAGCCATGCCACCTTTAAAATAAAATAACTAGAAGTCAAAGTTACTCAGTTTTTGGGGCCTTCTAGCAAAAGATGTTTTGGCTGTCATGTCCCAGGACCTGCTTTTAGGAACATTTCTAAAATTTAGTGTTAAAGTAGTTGCCCTTGTGGTGCTGCACTAGAATAGTCAGAATTAAATGGGATTTCAGGAGCACAGCACCTTTCAAGCCCCATGAAATGTAAACAGAAATGACCTTTCTATCAAACACACCCAGGACAGCCGTCTAAAAGTTGTGACAGTGTCTTGCTCACCCCTTGCTCCAGGCTCTGCAGGACACAGGCAGGGAAGGACACTGATGCTCTGATGTCTCCTTGGAAATCCACGTGTCCAGCCCTGTCTGCTGGTACTGGAGAAGTGTGGCTGAAATTTGGGAAGGGTGCAGGCAGGGGAGAGAATCTTCTAGAGCCCAGCAGTGATCGAGACCCAAATGAAAGCCCTGATGGGGTTGTGCCCTCGGGCAACTGGGGAAGTGCTTGTGCACTGGGAAAGTCTCATGGAGGCGGCTCGGGCAGTCAGGGTTGGTCGGTGCCTGCTGCAGAATTGGCATTTTCTTGCTAAGTGGGCAGGAGGAGCAGTGTCACCGAGGCAGGTGGCTGAGTTTCCCAGGTCCTGAGGTGGGCAGTGGGGTGGGCACTGGGGTGCTGTGCCTTGGCACCCCCACAGCACCCCGCAACCTAACCTTGCGGGAACTCGGGAAATGGGAACCACGGAGTGTAATCTCTGCTTTAAAGAGGTGTTGTCTTTCTCTTTTATCCCTCCTTGGCCTTTGATTTTAAAGCTAGCAGGGGAGTGTGATTTTCCTGCCTGGCCAATAGCACTGCCTGGGTCTGAATTATTCAGTGTAGCACTTGGCATTCTGCACCCTGTTCCCACTTAAGATCTTTTTCGCCTGTTC